GGGGGTCCTGTCTGAGCCCCCCAGTTTCTCTCCCCCAGAGAACCGGCTGCTGCCCACGGAGCTGCGGCACGAGGCGCTGGCACTGCAGAAGGAGCTCGAGTTTGATTTCGATGCACCAGGGGGTGAGTGGGACCCCCAAATTGGGGGGGGAGGAGGAGGAGAAGGACCCCAAATGGGGGGGGAGTGGGACCTCCAAAGCAGGGGTGGGGAGATGGGCAGGACCCTCCAGTGGTGAGGCTGCTGGACCCCAAAATGGGGACAGGGGACCCCGGAGAAGAGGGAAGCAGCCCAAAAAGAGGTGGGGGCCCCTTCAAAAAAGAGGTTGATCTCAGATTCAGGATCAAATGTCCCATGTTTCACCCTAAATTAGAGGAACAAATTATGTGGGTCTTTAACTGATGTCAGATAAGTTTAAAATCACCCCAAAATGAGGAGAAGTTTACATTAACACAGCCAGACTGGGCAGCAAACGTGTCCCATTTACTCCAGAACTGAGTCCCAGAATTGACCCCAATATCTCCCCGGGGTGGGTGGGGCCTCGGTGGGCGGGGCTGTGATGGGAAGGGGCGTGGCCTGACAAAACCCCACCCCCAGATGCTGAGAACAGCCAGGATGATGAGTACAAGTGGGCGGGGCTGGAGCCCCCCAAGGTGATGGTGACAACCTCGCGTGACCCCAGCGCCCGCCTGCGCCTCTTTGCCAAGGTGGGCGTGGTCGGGGTGGGCGTGGTCAGAGATGGGTGGGGCTCTGGGTGGGTGGGTCCCAGGTGGGCGTGGCCGAGATGGAGCACCCTGCCCCTTTGTGGGTGCCTCATTGGGGGTGTGGCCTCAGGCAGAGGTGGGGATTGGGGGTGGGTGTGGCCTGGCCAGTGGGAGGGGCTTGATTGGCCCCACCCCATGGGCTTTGCTGGAGCTGTGCCCATGTTGAGGTGGGGTGAGTGTTGGTGGGTGTGGTCTGAATGTGGGTGTGGCTCCTTGGGCCCACCCCAAATTAACCTAAATTGAAGGAAGAGGCGGGGCCTAGGGATGGGCGTGTCCCTATGTTGGTGGGGACAAACGGGGACAGAGATAGGGCATTTGAGGTGACATCCAAGGGTTTCTCAGGGGACACAAGGGACCCTGGAGCAGCGCAAATAGGACACGCAGGAATGGAGGGAGGACATGAAATGGGCGTGGCACATGGTGGGTGTGTCCCCACTGACCCCGCCCCGTGTCCCCGCCCCTCAGGAGCTGTGCCTGCTGTTCCCGGGGGCGCGCMGGATGAACCGGGGCCGTGCCGAGCTGGGGGCTCTGGTCGGGGCCTGCCGGGCCGCGGGGGTCACCGACCTGCTGGTGCTGCACGAGACCCGCGGGCGGCCTGGTCAGTGCGGGGGAGGGGAGGGGAGGGGCTAATTGGGAATGGGATAAGGGGTGGGGCCATAAGGGGTGGGAATTTGGATGTTTCCTTTTGTGGGGGGGGTCTCTCCTTGGAGGGAATGCGAGGTACGGGGGAGTTGGGGTGCTCTGGGTTTCCAGGGAGGCATTTGGGGTGCTCTGGAGTGGTTTGGGGGTTCCCTGGGGAGCTTAGGGTCTGGGAGCGTGTTTGGAGTGTCCAGAGGAGGTTTTGGGGTGTTTGGGAGGGATTAGGGGTTTTCTGGGAATGGGTGGAGTCAATG